GGCGTCCACCGAGCGCCTCGGTCACAGCAGGTGCTCAGGAAACAGTCGTTGAACGAGTCAAAAGAAATGATGTACTTCTTCCAAATTTCTCTAAAGAACTCTAAAAAATTAAAGCAAGTTTGTCTAACTTTCTTCAATCCAAATTGCATCTGAACAAGATACGCGTTATAAAGGTAAAATTTGCAAGAACAGGTTTCCAGTTGAAAACGAGTCCACGTAGGCTCGGCTCTCCTTTGTCCTCATAGCTTAAGGACTTTGCCATTCCCGTGTTACACCCAGCTCCACTGTCAAGTCTTCAAGCCCTGAAGTCCTCAGGCTAAGAGAATGATTTTGAATTGGCTGAACCTCAAGTCCCTAAACACACATGCTATGGAGTATAAGGATGGGGATAGGTGACCGAGCTGTGGGGAAGTCTTGGGAGCTTTCAGTTTGCCTCTAATGAGGACCCGCCCCGCACAGCACAAGGCATAGCCCGATCCCTTACCAGCCTGGGGCAGAGAATGGTGCAGGCAAGTCGCATGGAGAAGTTATTCTGGTAGAAGGTCATGATTGGCAGATGTGAACTAGAGCAGATGGGCAGCAAGCAAGGCTGCCTTAGTGGTTTGTTTCTTGGCAGCTCTGGAATTGAAGGCGCGCACAGGCAAAACCTAAGAATACAGACCAGAGCATGAAATGCCAGCATTTCAGGCCTCCTCATCTTGGAACTCTCAGAAAAATACCAGCCAAAATTGGAGGATTCAGGAATATGTGAAATCTTAGCTTATCCACAATGGACACATTGCTCTTAAAAACATCCATTACTTCTTTAAACATTTCCAGCAAGTTTTGAGAAATTATTGCTAATAGCAGACGTTTTAAACATAATTATACTTAAATTACTTTGTGTGTGCTTCTCATTCAATGATGTGGATTGAGACATTCTTTTTTCATTCATTTGATATGTAAGCTTACCCTGTTTAGGTCTGTTCTGGGTGCTGGGAATGTATCAGAGAACACAACCAATGTCAGTCATTGAGTGAGATGGAAAGGAGTGAGGATGGAGGTCGGAGAGGCCACAGGGACAGAGTTGGCAAGGCCTTGCCTGCTGAGGCCAGGTCTTTGGATTTAGTTCTGAGTTGGGAACCAATGCAAGGTTTTGAACCAAGAGGAGATGTGTCCCACTTGAGTTTCAAGTTTTAAAAAGATCACTCTGATTGTTGTGTTGAGATAGGTTCTTAGGGAGCAAGAGAAAAAGCAGCGAGACCAGTTAGCAGGCTATTGCAACAGTCCTAGCAAGAGATTATTGCAACTTAGCTCAGGTGGTGAGAAGTGGTTGAATTCTAAATACGCAGGATGACCTTACAGCTGGGAAACAGAGGTGTTATTTGATTGTGTTCCTCAATGTGGCAGTACCTAACCACTTACTGCCCACTGACCACCTATTCCCCAGACTTTGTAGCCACCCTGTGTTCAGGGTGATAAGCTGATGGCTGTGATATGTGGTGTAAGCGACACAGAAAACATCCATGGCAACTCCAGGGCTCACAACCTGAGATACCAGAAGCTGGGGTGTGCTGTTTACTGAGGTAGGGGAGACTGTGAGAGTGGGTTTGAAAGAGATGAGGAGTTTGGTTTTGGACAGATTACATTTGAGATGTCTGTGAGACACACCGGCGGGGACAGCAGGGCAGTTAGATAGATGCGTGTAGAAACCAGCAGCGGTTAGGGCTGAGGATTCTGTGAGAGCTGTTGAGAGAGAGAGAGAGAGAGAGAAGGGTATTTAAAGCTATCCAACTAGATAAAAACCACCTAGGGAATGGATAGAGAGAACAGACCCCTCCACAGTTGAGAGGTCAGATAAATGGAAGCAACCAGTTAGACAGACAGAAAAGAAGTGATGTCCTGAAACCAAGTGAAGAAAAATTTGTTTCCTTTTGTAAAACCGTGAGGTTCATGGGGGGAAAACAGCACGCCAAATTATTACTGTAGAAGAATGTCTATATTTGGTGACAGCGTTGTAACTAAATTATGGTGCCCCCAAATGGAGGAAAGCAGACAAGAAGGCCCTCTCACAGAACGTCACTTTACCAGTTCATTCCACTGGTTGTAGCCGAATGAGTGCACTCACTGCTGTTGCTTCCCCGTCCTTATTGGAGTTCCGTCTTTGAGCTTGTTCCATTCTCCCATTTCCATCAGTCTTTTCAATCACCTTCTATCTGCTGACTACTCTCAAGTCTAGAATCCCTTCCTTTGCTCTTGATCTTTCTACTCAACTGCCTTCCAGATATCTTCACCTTGTTGCCCCCAAGCTCTTCACATTCACAACATCCAAAACAGAACTCCTTGTCTTTCTTGTCCACCCTGCTCCTCGACCCTGCCCCTCATGCTGGTGGACTAGCAACCACCCTTTACATGGTCACCCAGAAAGAGACGCCACTGCCGACTCTTCTTCCTTCAGTCGCACAGACATCTGGACTCAAGGCCAGTAATCTTGATGCTTTAACATTTATGCAACAGTCCATATGTGATAAGGAGTGAGCAGAGGGGAGCACAGCAACATGCCTGTTCTTGGTGCCCTGACTGTGGCCTTCATCCCTTATTGCTGTCATAGTATTCTATTCTTCTTCCGGTTCCTCTGTTTTTCTTTCAATCTATTTTTCAAATGCACTCAGAGATTCATTTTAAAAAGAGAAAAAAGGAAAAGAAAAAATTGGGAGCTCTGATCTTCTCAAAATATAACAGGTGGACGTGTGTCTGAGAATGTCATTGGGGCTCAACATCAGGGACCACATACAGGTTCTTAGGGTAAGGGCAAGAGATAGATGTGCACACAGGAGACCAGGTCAAGTTCCAGCTCAATCATTTGCTATTTGAATATTTTTAGGCAATTCATGAACCCTATTTGTTTCTGCAAACTCAGCTCAAGATCACCGCCTCCAGGAAGCCTTTGCTGTTTACTCCCATAGCATTCTATAGTTGCTTTTATTGTGGTAATTATTATCTTTGCTGATTTGTTCCTGTCTCCTCTACTAGACTATAACTTCTTTGTATTCCCAAGCAGAGTCTGCAACATAGCAGGTGCTCAATAATGTATAATGAATGTATATTCTCCAAATTCAGCTTCCTCATTTGTAAAATGGGGAACTTTTCAGAGTTCCTTTGAAATTTAAATAAAATATGCATGTTAGAAATTTTCATAAGCTATAACTCAATATACGAAATTCTTATTGCTTACTCCTTACTACTTTATAAACTCCAAACACCTTACTCTGGCATCCAAGACCCTGAACAATCCATTTCCAGGCCAGTTTTCAATTTCCCTCTAGTTCTACCCTCCATACTCTATATTATATCCTGCTAAGTTGTTTATAACACACCAGTTTCTTTCACATCTCCCATCATTTTGCATTATACTTACCTATGTACATGTAGCATCAATAAAGTGGGCTGTTGTTAAAATAACTAGAATTGAAGTAGTAGGAACTAAAAACAAATGTTACTTTCATCTACTAAACCTAAGTCTTTCCTCCATTCTAGTCAATAATCCACTCAGCCACCAAATGTGTTTTAAAACATGGGTTTGATTATATTTTCAATGCCTGCTGGATAAAATCACCTAGTAATTCAGCCAAGGTTCTTCATGACTCAACTCTCCTCTGCCACTTCATCTTCTGTTGTTCCGCTAATAGCCTTTTCGACAGTGTAGTAACCACAGTTCTTGCAGTTTTACCAGGATAATAGGCTCTCTCAGCTTTCAAGCCTGTACACATGATGTGTCCTTTGCCTCTAATGGTCTCCTCTGCTTTATCTAGTGAACTCCTGGTCATCTTTTAAGACTCAATTCAGATGTAAACTCTTCTGTGAAACCTACCCTTAAGTATTCCTTGGCAGGACTAGATGCTCCCTCCTCCCTTATTACACTATCTCTTATCACAGTCTTCTGTGATGGGTGTCTGTCACCTCCATTAGTCTGTAAAATCACCCAGCACAGGACTCCGGTTTGTTCTCTGGATCCTTATTGCTTGGCTGGACACCTGGCACACAGTGGGCACTCAGTGGAAATCAGTTGGCTGTTCTGACTACCCTCTTAGGTACCTGAGGGCACCATTGGAGGTGCTCTGTCCCGCCCATACACACACTGCTCCTCCATCTCTAGACACTATTATAACATTCTTTCATTCTTTGTCCTTCCGAGGTAGAATTTAGTCAGGGATGGCATTTCTAGTCAGTTAAAATTACACTAGTAACACACATTGTAAAACTTATTCTTTTTTTTTTTTAAAGATTTATTTATTTATTCATAGGGGGTGAGAGGATTCACCAGAGACAGAGTGGGGAACAGTACAGGCGGAATGACTGAAATACACTGCTGAGGGGAGCAGCAGGCGGGTCAGGAGAGGTCTGCTGCGCCATGTGAGTTGCTCCCTGGCAGGGAATTGAAATCGTGCTTCAGTGGCTGTGGACAGCTTCATAGGTTGCAGCTTAACCCCTTGCACCACCAGGGAGGCCCTGTTTTTTTCTATTTTTCTTTTAAAGATTTATTTATTCATGCATACAAGAACCAGGATACAGGCCAGATACGCAGGAGGGTGAGAGATTCACCAGAGACAGAGTGAAATACACTGCTGAGGGGAGCAGCGGGCAAGCCTGGAGAGGTCTGCTGCGCCATGTGGGTATCTCCCTGGCCGGGGATCGAACTGACGCTGCAGTGTCTGTGGATTGCTTCATCAGTTGCGTCTTAACCGCTTGCGCCACCAAGGAGGCCCATAAAACGTAACTCTTTGGAAGGAGGGTTGGAGCAGCGCCACAGCCCAACAGACCGTGAAACGTAGATATTCCCCTTGATTCCACTTGACAACCCCCAACCCTCACAAGATGGCGGGAGCGCCCGAAGGCGGGCGCCGGAAGTGAGGCGGCGGAAGTGGGCCCGGGCGTGGCTCTCGGTCCTGGTCGACGGAGACGAGGACACTGGCATTTGAGCGGGAAGTGGCCCGACGCTCGGACCGTTCCCTCAGGTACTGCACTGTGGGGGACGCGGAAAGGCCTGTCCAGGCGCAGGCAGGAGGGTGACGACGCCCTCACAGCCCGTGTGCGAGAGGGACGGTCCCTGCTGTGTGAGGCCACCACGTCACCCCTACTTCTGTGGGCGTCTCCGTGGGCCCGCCTCCCTCTCTGAGTAAGTGTGGGTCTCTCAGGGCGGTCATTCTCTGGTTTGATTCATCCGAGCGAGCCGGTGCCCAGCCTCAGGCCCGCCTGGGCCGTGGAAGGCGTTCTCAAGGGATTGTTGAGGGAATGGGGAAATGGAGGCTGGCAAAGAGAGACCCGCCACAGAAGGTGATTACTCTCAGCCTCCGCCTTCATTTTCGGAGTTCTTGCCCAAGGAGTCTCATTTCTTCCTCTCAACATTCCTCCCTGTGTGGTGATTGTTATCCTGACATGAGGGAATCGAGGTTAAAGAAATTGTTCATTAGAAAATGACAGGGCAGGACCTTAAATGAGAGCCTTTGAAATCCTTAGTCACAAGGTGAGGTATGTGAGTGCCTGGTGTGGGCACATTGTGGGCATTGGGTAAAAAGTGACCATTTACCCCAGAGGGGAGGGTTGTGTCTCATGCCCCATCTTGCGCCATTTCCTGAGCCTGCTACATGGTAATCTCCAAAAACCTCAGTTGAATCAATTAATGAACACAAGGAGGAGACTCAAAAAGAAGTCCTCTGCCTCTTGCAGTGTTCTTACCATCAGAACAGTAACCCCTCCTGAGGCCATGGTCTTCTCTGTAATCATTCTCCCATAACAATCTTGTTTCCTCCTGAGTAGAACGCATGTCCAGGGGCAGACTGGACAAACTGTGCAAACAAACACGAGAGCTGCACCCTCCTCATGGCACTGCCCTTCATGCCTCTTTCCAGAGATGCCTCCCGGCACTCGAATCTCTTTAGATGCTGCTGTCGTTATTGTCCTAAGTCTTTGCATAAAGTCAGGTCAGCTCCTCAGTCCATTCATAATTTTGAAATTCAGGAAGTTTTGAAAATCAATTTTCTGCGCTGAACTCATTTGGTGGCAAGACCTCAACCATTTATCTTTATTCCAAATATTAACAATTTTTTTTTTAGTCATGTTAATGTGTCTGATGATTGTTTAGAGTGACCTCACGTCTTAGGGTACTGTGTAATATGTGGTGCAGGCACTGCATTACTCTTCCAAAGAAAAAAATTGAGTTTGAATTCCACAAATCATCTGGCCTCAGGAGATCCTGGAAGAGATTGTACATCAGTAGTTTAGTGTCATTTGGTAACATATATAACTTGGTAATGTTTTAGGTAAAGTTGGGGGAAGAAATAGCCTTAGCCAAAGCATTGTGGAAGTGGGTAAATTTGAAAAGAAAATTAAGAGACCTTTTCTACCTCATCATCTGTTTATTTTGGTATTATATAAAAGAGAAAGCTACTTAACTAACTTAACTAAGCAATATTGTTTGAATGTAGGGGTCATGTTTTATATTTCTTGTATCCTTCACAAACCTGTATAAACAGATTTGTTTATTGATTAGAAAATATTTGCACAAAACTCTAGGATTTGACTTGACAATTGCAAGAGCTAGATTATATACATACATACATACACACACATATATGTCATGTTTATAATCCAAAGCTATAAAATCAATGCAAGTTTCTCCCAAAACAGTCTCTCCACCACTTGGTCATTCACTCAACACCTGTTTCTTGAGTGCCCACTCTCTGCTAGTACCTTCTAGGCAATAAGTTTCCTCTGGTAAATAAGACAAAGTGCCTGCCCTCGGGGAGCTCCCAGCCTGGTGGTGGAGAAAGCCAGAGAGTGGGTGACTCATTCGTAAGCACAAGTCTTGATACGTGCCTTGAAGGAAATAGCCAGGTGCTGAAGGGGAATCATGGGAAGACCTAAGTAGTTGCTCAGGGAGGTGCGTCACCTCTCAGAGGACGTGACTCAGATTTGTGGATTGAAATATCTTACTTTTCTCCATTTCGTAGTATTATTAGGGACTTGGGTAGCCGACAACCAAGATTCAGGATGAACATTTATACTCGTGGGCACTAAATTTGGTCTCAGATGTCACATCCCTTTCATAACAATCTCAGGTTCTTGGTGGTATGAATAAAGTGAGCATTGCAAGTGTCTAAACACAACAGACCAACACGCGCTGACCTGAACTCCTTGATTCTTCAGCCCGGGAGGAATCAAAGTGGAGCGGTGTCTTATATATTCTGTGTTTTTGGCACGGAGTGACATATGTTTGTAAATGATAATTATTCACTTATCCAGATCTTTTCCTTTATGGTTTCTAATGGTTAGTAATATATTTAATTTAGGTATGGTGTCCAGCACATCCGTCCAAGGCTATTATTTAGGTACTTGTCTGGGGCAGAGAATTCATTTGAGAAATCATTTTTTAATTCTAAAAAGGCAGGTAGAGAATATAGGAAAATCTAAAAAATAGGATTTTATTCACACCCAAAATTAGATTGGAAGCTATCCAAAAAAAGAAAAAAAAGGTTTAATGACCATTGTTCAATTCCTGCAGGTTATGATTCTAACAGGGTTGGTTTTTTTTTTTTTTTAAATAGACTTGTGAGGAAACAGATCAATATTTGTTGCTCTAAGCCAGTGTCACAGAGCATCTCTGCATTCAGTGAGCTTGGTGGAGGGGAAAAAAGGACAATAGAAAAAGAAAACCCTCATGGTTGAAAATTTTAATAGCTTATTGAAACACATTATAAATCAGCTTTTCACTGTAGGAGTGAAGTCAGATAAAAATGCCTGTATTTGTAGTTCAAACCAGAGAGAAAAGCAGAAAAATGTAAAAACATGCCAGTTCTCTTTCTTCCTAGAGTTGTTGATAGTCTCTTTTTGAGAAATCTTAATTAAATGGGTCCATTTTCTATCTTGCTTATTTGAGGATGCATTGGACTTTTTTTGAGAGTTAATTATCCCCTCTTATTTTTTAAGAAGGAAGTGATAGTTCATTAGGATGCTTCTGAAAATTTATATCTCCCTTAAATGCACACAGAGAAATTAATCAAGCCTGAGCTAGGACTTGAGAAGGTCAAGGAAGAGAAACAAAACCAAAAATAACAAAACGCATTTGTTATGGATTTTAATGATTTTCTTTTGTTATGTGGGCAGTTTCTGTAGTAAAATCTGATTATAGATTGTTGAGGCTTCATTGGATCTGGATGCTCATCAGGCTTAAAATCAATTTAGGACGCTATGCTGTGGCCATCAGTGGTGAGTAGTTGCTAGGGCAACTGCCAACCGGCTGAGCTACCTTAAAGCAAAGTAATGGAAAAGAAGGAAGGGAATGATTTACTATGAACTACAAATTGATATTCACAAACATCATTTAAAAATTGGAGACTCAAGTTTTAATGTATTTCCCATCTTTGTCTGCCTTTGGTTTTGAAATCTGAGAGATAATTGCTGACCCTTTTAGGTTTTCAGGAAATCCTTACGCTATTTGAATCATACTGTTGACATTGTTTAATCCTAAACTCATACTTTTATTCTAAAATTCAGTAAAGAGAGTCATTTAGCCTTTTCCTCCAACTTACTAGTGTGACCAGGACTGAAATATTGGTCTAGCATGCTGTGAGTTAGATGTCCACTGAGGGGCAGCTACTTGTCTTAATAACCGTTCCTCCTTTTAATAAGGTCAGACATGTAGATCGGATTTTGAGGACTAGTAGTTCTAACAAGGATACAACCATACAGCCACTTGATGACTCTTACACTCCATTTTCAGCATCTTAATTACTTTCAGGACATAATTTTTTCATATATGATAACAAATCTTCAGAATGAGATGTCAGTGAAAGTTGTTTTCTTATGCTAACTTATCCACCTTCCAAGTCACGCTCATAATGACAATTGAACGATATTTTCTGTGGAGACATTGAAGATTAGAAAGACCACCTATGTTTCTTGAAATACTGTAGACCAACCCCTTATGAGAGATTTCCCATACTGTTCCTAGGAAGGTTTATATGATATGCCACCTTCAATTTTGACTGATGTAAGTCAGGGTTGATTTAGAAACAAAATCTCGATTTTTCAGATTGATTTGGTCTTTTATAGATGTTTTAAAAATCTTTAACCCTCTTTTGTGCTTTCCTTTGTAGGAAATTGATACATTATCCGATGGAGATGAATCATTTGATTTGGGAAGCAGCTGAACTGGGGACAGGTGACCTCGCCAGGATTTTATAAACCAAGCACATTAACTCCTCTTCCGTTACCCTTACCCGTATCTCATCTTCCAACTTGTCTGACTAATGGCATTCAGGAGGCAAGTGAAAAACTTCATGAAAAATTACACAGATGCTGAAGTAAAAGTCAGGGAAGCGACTTCTAATGACCCTTGGGGTCCTTCCAGTTCTCTGATGTTAGATATCAGTGACCTGACTTTCAACACAATTTCTCTCTCAGAGATTATGAATATGCTGTGGCAGAGACTCAGTGACCATGGGAAGAACTGGCGCCATGTGTATAAGTCCCTGACGCTGATGGATTATCTCATCAAGAATGGATCAAAGAAAGTTATCCAGCTTTGCAGAGAGGGGTTCTGTAACCTTCAAACACTAAAAGACTTTCAGCACGTAGATGAAGCTGGGAAAGACCAAGGTAACAGTTAAGGAAATTTATGCAGTGTGCCAGCAGCCATTTCGAGTTTGGGAGGGGGGGTCACTTTATTTTTATTTTTTTTTAAAGATTTATTTATGCCTACAAGAACTGGGATACAGGCCAGAGGTGTGGGGGGATTCACCAGAGACAGAGTGGGGAACAGAACAGGCAGATTGAGTGAAATACACTTCTGAGGGGAGCAGCGGGTGAGACAGGAGAGGTCTGCCGTGCCATGTGGGTCACCTCCCTCGCGGGTGATCGAACTCCAGCTGCAGTGACTGCTGATAGCTTCATAGTGCTGCGACTTAACCCCTTAAGCCACCAAGGAGGTCCCAGGAGGGGGTCATTTTAAACTGGGAGGTAGAGAAAGTTGTTCTTCTATGTATTACCTTTCCTCTGGGACAGTTTTGGCTTCCAGCTTGGTCCTTTGTGGTTATTCTTGAGTGCCTTAGAGAAAACTGACTCCCTTTTTTTCCAAAAGGATGTGTAAAGCTAACACATATAGGTTCCTCATAAAATGATACTTCATAGAAGATGAACAAAGTGAATAAAACAGGAGGCATGGCAGTTTGGTAGAATAATATCACTGTAATTCATAATTATAATTCGCCTGGAATTTAGTCATAAATGTAAGAAAGTGTTTTCAAAGACTATGGAATCTTCAAAGATTATCTCGATGGAGGTAGTTATATGAATACCAAAATTTAGGTCATAAGATAATTTTGTCGGGGGTGGAGGAGGAGGTGAAGTAGGGGAAGGGGGACAGAACACGGCACCGGGATGATTCAGTGCTGCTGAGATGCTGCGCCGGGACAGAATCAGCACTTCCTCCCCATCGAATGTAAAATTATAAGTTGTGTTTAAAGTGAATAGTCTTATGAATCATGAGGAGAGGATAAAATTCAGTGCCGTCTCTGTGTTAAGTGTACGTTTTTAAAATAGACTGTGTTTTAGAGCAGTTTTAGGTTTACAGAAAAATTATGCAGAGAGTTCCCACATGCCCTTCCCACCCACACGCAGGTTCTTCTATTAGCATCTTGCATTAGGAGGGTACATTTGTTGCAATTGACAAACCAATATCGACACGTTATTATTAGCTAAATTCCTTGATTTACAGGAGGCTGGTTCTTTGGGGCCTGCAGTCCTGTGGGTTTAAGAAAATGCATATGCCGTGCCAAGGATCTGCCATCCCAGGGTCTCACAGAACATGTGAAGACGATGAGGCCTGTGCCCCACCTACCCTCCTCCTCGCTCCCGAACCCCTGGCAGCCTCTCATCTTTTCATTGTCTCTCTAGTTTTGCCTTTTCCAGAGTGTCGTATAGTTGGATCATACAATATGCAGCTTTTCCAAACTGGGTTCTTTCCCTTAGCAATATGCATGGAAGGTTCTTCCATGTCTTTTTATAGCTTGAGAACTCATTTGTTTTTTTCCCCTCTTCACTTAAAAAAAAAAAAAAAAACTAACTTGATTGAGATATAATTACCATACAATTCCCCATTTGAGCATATATTCCTGTAGATTTTGGAGTGTGTGTGTGTGCCTGCGTGTGTATTTAATTGTGATAAATATATAATAAAATTTGCCATTTTAAGTATAAAATTCAGTGGCATTTACATTCACAATATTGTGCAATCATCACTACTATTTTTAAAACCTTTTCATTACCACAAACAGAAACTCTTATCCCTTAAGTACTAACTATCCTCTAATCTACTTTCTGTTCCTATAAAATTTCTATAAAATTCTGGGCAGTTCATATAAATGGAATCATAAAGTATTAGTCCTTTTCAGATTGGTTTCTTCCACTTACCAGTAAGCATTTAAGATTCTTCAGTGTCTGATTTATTTCACTTACGATAGTGACCTCCAGATTCATCCACATTATAGGGCTTGTCAGAACTTCCTTCCCTTTATAGCTGAGTAATACTCTGTTGCATGTATATGCTACATTTTATTTATTTATCTATTGATGAAGTCTTGGATTGATTCCACCTTTGGCTGTTGTGAGTAACACTGCAGTGAAATTAGTATACAAGTATCGGTTTAAGTGTATACTTAGAATGCAATGACTGGATCATATGAGTAATTCAATGTTTAGCTTTTTGAGGAATCACTAAACTTAGCAGCTGCACCATTTTACATTCCCACCGGTGAGGTGAGAAGTTTCTATTTCTCCTTGCCAACACTTGTTGTGGTTCGCCCTTTGGATTATAGTTATCGCACTGGGTGTGAAGGTATCTCATCATGGTTTTTATTTACACAGCCCCAAAACTAATGGTGTTGAGCATCTTTTCATGTCCTGTGGACCAGTTATCTTCTTTGGAGAAACATCTATTCAGATCATTTTTCCTTTCTTAACTGAGTTACTTGTTTTTTTTATTGTTGACTTCGAAGACTTCTTTATATATTCTGGATATTAACCTGTATGCTACTATTTTGCTGAACTTACTTGTTAGCTATAATAGTTTTTTCTCTTTTACATTCCTTAAGCTTTCTCCCATATGAGACCATGTCATCTGACATAGGGAATATTTGATTTTATTACTTACTTATTGTCTATTCTTATGAAAAATAAGTTTTATGAGGACCAGGAAATTTTATTTCTGCTTTGTCCATGCTCCATCTCCAGCATGACAGAAGTGCTCACTCATGAATTATAGTAATATTACAGGAGGGAAAAGTTGGGAAAAGACATAGCAAAACTCATTTTTAACATGTTAACATTTTCAAGTAATGTTCTCGATGTTTTTCTTCAATCACCAGACGCTCTTTCAGGTGAACTGTTTCTAAATTTAAAGCATTGAGTTTAATTGTTCCTCTGAAAAAATGTACAGTAAATAATTTTCTTTGTGTTTCTAGACTTTTGCGAGACACCGTTGCATTTTTTAGATTATTTGGATGCATTGCTTTACATTTAAAGGCACTTCACCTGAAAATATCTAGAATTTATAGAAAAATATGTTGAACACACTATTTTTAGGTGAACTAGCATCATTTAAAAATAAGTTTATTCTTTATTTCCCAACCTTTTGAGCCCTCTCTGTTTGCAAACAAAGTTTATGGAATTTAGTGATATGACAAGCACTGTTCTAAACACATTGAATTTGTTAACTCAGTCAATCTTTATAATAACCCTTCGAATTAGGTTGTGGTGTTGGCCCTGTTTTACTGAGGCAGCTAAGAATCAGAGCTAGTTAGTGACAAAGCCGAGATGGCTATTTAGATGTTTGGGCTCCAGAACCCATGTCTGTATTGCTGTATTGAACGATTGAGTGAATGGTGCTGGCCAATCCCAATCATGCTCTTCCTTCTCCTCCACCTTCTCAACCTGTGTCATGTCCGCAGTCTTGACCAAGTCCTGGACTAGTTATAAGTAGAAACACGAGGAAGGTAGAATAGGTTGAGAATGGAATTAAATCTGTTCACTAATCTGGGACAGGAACTAAAATTTTAGCCTTTTTTGCAAGTATTTCAGAGTTATTTAGGTTAAAAAAAAAGCTAGACACAGCTGGTCCATTGCTTTTATCATAGATTTAGGGCCCATTACATGTTAGGCCCAGCCTCACCAGCCAGGATGCCGTGTTCCCGCAGAGCGCGCAGGGGCTCCAGCCGGTAGTCCTGTGCCTCCGTGACGTTCTCAGGTAAAAACCTTTACGTCCACGCTCCTGTGTACTCTCTTGGGACACTTTTATATACATATCTATATCCCTTGCAAAACTGAATTTCTTTTTTATTTAAAGATTATTTATGCATACAAGAGCTGGGTACAGGCCAGAGGTGTGTGTGGGGGGTGGGGGCGGGTAGAGGAGTCACCAGAGACAGAGCGGGGAACAGAACAGGCAGACTGACTGAAACACACTGGTGAGGGGAGCAGTGGGCGAGTCAGGAGAGGTCTGCTGCGTCATGTGGGTTGCTCCCTGGCCGTCCGAGATCACGCTGCAGTGGCTGTGGATAGCTTCATAGGTTGCGTCCTACCCCTTGCGCCACCAGGGATGCCTGCAAAACTGAATTTCTTAAAGACATGAACAGTATCTCTAGCACTTAGTACATCACTCGGGAATAGGGTCTCTCAATATATCTTTGATAAATGGATGATTAATATCTTAGGATTTTTATTTTTATACTTTTAGCAATTGAATTTCTTTCAGGAACATAAAAATATGTTAGTGTTGACTCCTTTAATAACATAAAAACAAAAATAAACAAAAATAACAATAAAAATTTCCATTTCTTTGCTATAAATTACTTTTTAAAATAAATTTCTACTGCTAACATGCTTGATTGAGATGTAACTTATATAGCATAAAATGCACAGATCGTAATTGGACAGGTTGATGAGTTTTGATAAGTGTAACCATCGCCCATATTAAAATAAAGAGCATTTCTGTCATCCCAGAAAGTTCCTCATATTAATTAATCTTGTTGCTTCTCTGTGCTGTACTTTGGAGAATTCCTTAGTAGTATTCTTTTCTTACCAATTCTCTCTCCAACTGTTAGGTTCTGAAGTTTATCTTGGATTGTTGAGGGTTTTTCTTTGTAATCCCAATGACTGTTGTTTTCATTCCTAGGGATTTTTAATTGGCTCTTCTTGCCTGTTCATCTGTTCTTGTTTTATTTCTGCCTGGTTTTTTAATATATAATTTCATATTCCTTGCCATGGATATGATTCCAGTTAATCATATTTATTTAAACATCTTTGTTACAGGATTATGTAGCTATGAATGTAGAATTTTTATTTATGGAAAAACCTGTAGAACAGGGCTTTCATTTGGAGTGCGTTTACATTTCAGCTGCTTTATTCGCTACCTCTCTCAACACTAGATTTTTAAAAAATCAATGTTAGAATTTTAGTTTTCAGGCTTATTTTGAGAGAGAGGCTTTCGCCATCCACCCACGCTCACTTTCCCCTGCACGTTGGTTTTTTCAGTTCCCACGTCCCAGAGCCTGAGGCGCTCCCAGCACAGCCCTTGGGAAGAGGCTCAGGACTCAGGCCCTGAG